CGTAGAAATAGGATTAGCTTCAGGTATGACTGGATCCAGGGGCTCAAATGATGACTCTGGGACTTGATTTGACACCCGGATGAAGATCAGTTTATAGGGCTATTGCAGTATGATGACAGAGATGCCACCAACTGTCGCAAAGGTGTCACATGCAGCCTCACTCCTGCTTTCCAAATTCTGGTGTCATGTCCTCCAGGCCTCAGACCTGTCACAAGAGTCCAGATTCCCCTGGGCTACCTCCAACCCCTGGCCAGGGTCGACTGGCTGGCTTAGTAAGTAGAGCATGTGACTCTCAATCTCAGGGTCGTGAGTTCAAGCCCCACGTCGGGAACGGAACCTCCTTAAAAAAAATAAATAAATAAAAATAACCCTGACTAGACACCTCTTTTCCTTGCCCCACCCTCCTTGGGCTGATATCATAGGACATGTTCTGATGCTCACTTTGTGTGTGAGATCTCTGGATCCTGTGGGAGCCTGGATATAGGGATCTAGGGCAGAAGCAGCCCTGCCTCTCAGCATCTGTCTGGTGGTCATGAATAGGGTCTCGAATGCCTCTCTGACACCAGCTGTGTGACCTCAGGTAAGTGGCTTACTCTCTCTGAGCTTCGGTTCTCTCATCTGTAAAGAGGTGATAATAGTTTTTATCTCTTAGGATTGTTTTGAAGATTAAATGAGAGAGTATATGTAAAGCACTGAAGGCAGAGTAAACCCTCCAACATCCACTGCTGTTATTTATGTTGTTCCTTGATACCAATGAAGGAAATTATGTTTGGGGGGTTTTGGCTTTAGAATGTGGATATTACTACTCATAGCTACCATTTATTATGTACTTACGATAGGATGGGCACTTTGCATTTATTACAACAGCTCCTCGCAGAGGAGAAACCCAAGACCTGCGGGCTTAAATCCTTTACCAGTGACACCCAGCTCATCAGTGATAAAGCTGGAGTTGTCCACATCTGTCTGGCTCCTGAGCCCAAGGAGTCAGCCTCCCACTGCTCTACTATCTCTCCAGATGACATGGGGAAATAGAAAATAAAGGGGCCTTAAGTGATACTTTAAAGGATATATGACTCAAATCACTGCTGGGGTGGGGGGCTTGGGCGGAGAAGATGAGGAAGGAGGCATGAAAGCAATACTAGAAGGACTGACACCAAAAACGTCAGTGTTTTTTTCCTGAGCAGTGAGATTACTAAGAGTATGTTTTGTTTTGTTTTGTTTTCGGTGTTGCTTTATATGGTCCAACTTTTCTTACTTGGTAGTAAGGCCAATATACTTACTACTTGGTAGAGGCCAGTATAAAATTCTACCCTGAAACAGGAAGCCCAATTTTAAGCTACTATAAGCCCATTTGAACAAGTAATGGAACTAATAATCATGACTGGAGCACGTTTTCCCCATATTGCATCATTTCTGCAAACCTCCCCTGAAGCTTCTTTATCTATGGCTACTCTGGGCACCAGGCTGAGACCTTCCAAGCAGTTTTCTACCCAGTCCAGCCTGAGGACTGAGGTGGGGTACAAGAGTGAAGTGTACTAGGGGACCCATGCTCTACTCCTGGGCTGAGATGACATTAGGCCAATTACTTAATCTCTATTGGGCTCACTTCCTCTTCTGTCAAATAGGTGTAATAAAAACCTACCCTCCCTGCCTTATTAGGTGCTGTAATGACTGATACTAATGGGTATGAAAAATTATAGTTCCGTCCCTAGTGGGGGCAAATCCTGAAGGCAGCCAAGGTCTAGAGAGTATTCCCAGGAGAGTGGTAAGGCCTTCTGGTCCAGAATGAAGAATGAGAAACACTGCACTGGCTTCTTGGGAGAGTGTATCATGGGGACTCGCAGATCCCAGCTCCCCCCCTCAGGTCACCCAGCGGGTCCCATCCTTGGAGGGGAGTCTGGTCATGGAGCCTGGGTAACAGCGGGCTTTTTTATATAGCTTTTAAGTTGTCTAAAATTTACAGTGTATGTCTTAACTTACCATGCTTTACTGTTAAGTGCTTCACGTATATGAATTTTTCAACAGTATATTTCCATTTCATCCCTCCCATCCTTTGTGCTATTGTTGCATAAGTTTTAGTTTTATATGTTATAAATATCACAATACCTTTTGTTTAGTCTTTTTTCCTCTCATTGCTTCAGTTTGGATAGTTTCCATTGCTTATTGTTCAAGGTCACTAATCTTCTATGAGTTAATCCCATACGGTGAAATTTTTATCTCAGATATTGTATTTTCATTCTCTAGGTGTTCCATTCTGTTCTTTTTTATGTCTTCCATTTCTCTACTCATTATGTCCATGTTTTTCTTTAATTCATTGAAAGTATTTTAAATAGGTGTTTTTAAAGCCTTACTGTTAATTCCATCATCTCTGTCACTTCTGAGTCTGCTTCTATTGACTGATTTTTCTCCTGGTTGTGGGTCACACTTTGCTCCTTTGCATAGCTAGGAATTTTGTATTGGATGCTAAGTATTAAAAATATTATATTGTTAAGTGTCTGATTTTGTTGTCCTCATTTAAAGAGTGTTGGACTTTATTCTATCAGGCAATTAAGTTACATGTGGGTCAGCTTGATGTTTTTGAGTCTAATTTTTAAGCTTTGTCAGGGCAGGTCTAAAGTAGCTTTTACTCTAGGGCCAGTTTAGCCCTACTACTATGGCATGAGCCTTCTAGAGTCTCTGCTGAGTGTCCTCAGTGCTCCCCAAGGGCTCTTCACTCTGCCTGGTCAAACTTGCACATCTCCCAGCCTTGGGCGAGCTGGAAGTGTTCAGCTTATAAGCTCCATGATGCTTGCTCCTTGCTGAGCTCATGCAGTCCCACCCTATTCAGCCCAAGACTCAAGGAGATGCCTGTTCACGCGTGGGGAGCTTCCTCTCTCTCTCCCTAGTTTTCTCTCTCTGGTGCTTTGCCTCTGGAATCCCAGCTACCTCAGCCTTAACTGAACTTTGATCTTTACCTCATCAACTCAGTAAGACTGCTGTGCTCGCTTGGGCTCTCCCTCCCTGCACTGAGGGCTGATAAATGCCTCCAGGTGGAAAGCCGTGCCAATCACAGGACTCACCATATTTGTTTCCCTTGTCTCCAGGATCACAGTCTTGTACTGTGTCTGAAACTGCTTGTTTCATATATTTTCTCCAATTTTCTAGTGGAAGCTAGCAATTTCCTTTAAGATCCCTTTGGGGTAGTGCACCAATGATCCAGACTGGGTGTATCCTCCCTCCAGAAACTTGTGCAGAAATGGATTTAGGGTTAAAGAAGTCCATGAAAAGTCAGAAGGGTCATTCTGATCGCTTCTTAGAGAAACCCAGGATAAAGACTCACCACCCAGTATCAAGTCAAATTTTAAAACAAGAATTGTTAGTGTCCATCAACTGGGGGTTGGATAAATAAAATGTGGTATATCCGTACAATGGAATATAATTGGGTGATAAAAAGAAATGGAGTACTGAAAAATGCTATAACACGATGACTCTTGAAAACATGATGCTAAGTGAAAGAAGCTAGTTATGAAAGACCACATATTGTATGATTCCATTTATATGATATGTCCAGAATAGGCAAATCTATAGAAATAGAATACAGATTAGTGGTTGCTTACTGAGTGTGGGGGGTGGGGGTGGGGAGTGACTACTAATAGGTAGAGGGTTTCTCTTAGGGGAGGACAAAATGTTCTAAAATTAGACTATAGTGATCACTGCCCAAGCTCGTGAATGGACTGAAAAACATTAACTTGCACACTTTAAGTGGGTGGATTGTATGGTATGTGAATTATATCTCAGTAAACTGTTTTAAAAAAAGAATTGTGAGCCATTTCCTTCTGTGCTGAAGGTAATGAAGGGATGTAAAGGTGCTGTGGTGGGTAGGAAGAGAAGCCTCAGCTCTTAGATGGATGTATGTACATACTGTAAGTAGTATTCAATCCTGAACTGAAAAAGTGTGACCCGTGAGGAGTGTGCATGGTTTTCCTGGGGGAGGTGGTGGCTCTCGTCGGACGTTAGTCTTCGGACCCATTCGCTCCCTAATTACTTCAACCGGAAGAGAATTCTTGCCAAGTTTTCATTTTATCACCTCTTCCCAGCCTTCTGTCCTCTCTGGAACCTGGTCAGCAGTGAGTGTGTATTGAGTGACGACTGTCTGCAGGGAGAAGGGACTTTAGGGCACATGGAGCTTTACCCCTGACCTCAGAGGAACCTGAGAGCAGGAGAGCAGAGAGTGTCACATGGCCTCGGGGAACTGTGATGTCACCTTTGTGTCCTCTGTGTCACTGTTCAGAACCACCAGAATAAGGGTGACATGGTAATCAAATCCCAGCTGAGGATGCAAGAGTAGGCACACTCCTTCTGTGGAGTCTACGGTTCATTTTAAATGAGGCCTCTTACCTTCAAGGACTGTGAGTTTTTTGCGAAAGAAAAATTATTATTCATTTGCAGGCTTCTTGTGGGGGTCTTTTTTTTTTTTTTAAGATCTTATTTATTTGTTTATTTGAGAGATAGACCGGGAGAAAGAGAAGAAGAGGGAGAAGCAGGCTCCCCGCGGACCCCAGGTCATGACCCGAGCCAAAGGCAAATGCTTAACTGACTGAGCCACCCAGGTGCCCCGCAGGCGTCCTCATCAATATAATTCTAAGTGGAAATTGAGGTTAAGACCCTGAGCTTTGCTTAAAAATACTAACAGCTAACATTTATTGAGTGCTTACTGTGTGCCCCTTCTGTTCGAAGCACTTTCAAGTATAATCAGCACCTTGCCGACTGGTATTTCTCTCACTATATATAAGGAATGTAAAAAGACTATGTTTCTTTTTGCCACTATTCCGTTTTTCTGCTAAATTTTCAATAATTCGGTAGACTCTTCCTTCCGCTGAGGAATTCAGCATCCAGGTCGGACCCAGCCCTCGGCCAGCTAAACCAGGAGGTGGGCCCCAGAGGCTTCGCAGGCCTGGTGCTCTTGGTGCCACGTGAGGACGCTGCACTCATCAGATGTGGTGTGTGTGCTTTTTCTCTAGGATCATCCACGAAGATGGCTTCTCCGGAGAAGACGTGAAACAGTACAAGCCTGTTGTCTACAGCAACACCATCCAGTCCCTGGCAGCTATAGTCCGGGCCATGGACACTTTGGGCATCGAATATGGTGACAAGGAGAGAAAGGTAGGCTGCTGAGCCCATGGGCACCGTAAGGAGAGGGCCTGTCCTCTTTAAAATGTCGGCTGCCTTACAGGGAACAGGAGAGACCGCTGTCTGTGATAGAGAAGGCTAGTCGCCAACCTGAGCCAGCGCACCAGTCAGCCTGGCAAATTCAGTCAAACGGGCGTAGGTGATGGGCACACCTCCAAAGCAAAGTCGCCAACAAAGACAACAGTCACCAAATGTCAGGGTTTATTTTGCGTATGACAAAGGGTTGGTGACATCCTAAATTGGGACTCCAACGGCATCATACAAGGACTTGCCCTTGGGCAATTAACTTGAACAGAAGTATTTCTCAAACCAAACGAGCACTACCTGAGCACCATCTCCCCTCCTTAGGAGAGGGTTCCTTGCCTTCTTGGGAGCGGGGTGTAGCCGTTTGATTGTGACTCTTTCCTCCTTTACACCAAGGAATATGTTGTCTGCCTCTCCCAGGTGGGTCTGAAGACCTAAGGGGCTCTCCTTCCTGCAGGAAGTTGATATCCTAGAACAGAGACTGTTTTACTTTTTTTTTTTTTTTAAGGTTTTCTTTAAATTCCAGTGAGTTAACATACACCATTAATACTCGTTTCAGGTGTACAATTTAGTGATTCAACACTTACATACGAGGGACTGTTTTTCAGTTGGGTTCCCAGGTGTCTGATAAGTGGTGAATGGAGTAAGTGTATAAAAGCCCCTTATTTGCAAACATTTGCATTAACTGTAAGACGGAAGCATATACAGCTACGCTTGGCAAAGCTAAATAAAAGAGAGAGAGAAAGAAGGAAAAACAGACTTAGAGAATTCTATCCAGAAGTGGCTCTTTGTCCCCTGGTGGGACTGTGAATCCCAGCAACCCTTTCCCTCTGTCCTGGACGACAGAGAAGGGGAGCAGACGGGGAGGTCTTTGAGCTCCTGGGCCCCCTCATTGGAGCCTTTGGATAGAGAGAAGTCATCTCTGATTACTGTGTGATTCAGTTGTGCGTTGTATACATAGCCTGTCTTTGCTAAAAAAAAATCATCTCCTTCACAGAGAAAAACTATCCTTGCCTCTGGGTCTGATGAGGAACCTGTGACCGATAGCTTTAAATGTAAAATTCAATATTTTATGCCCAACATTCTAAGTCTATGGGGCAGAGTCATCCCAGCTCTGGCATGGGCTGCTTCCCCCTGGGGGATTTGTTGAAGGGAGGTGTGTCCGAGGCCAGCCTGGGCCAGGGAAGCCAGGGCCCCATCATCCACTGCTCCTCTGGGAGGCCGAGTCCAGCAGCTGGTTCTGCAAAGGAAGCTCTTCCCACCCGGGGGACCGGCTTTGGTTTCAGTCACAGAGCCAGGGCCCGTGGGAAGAGGGGCACTGCAAGTGCTTGTCTTATTTCCATTAAGTAGAAACTGACAGCTTCTAGCGGGCCAGGCACTGTGCTGGCTGTTGGGGATCTAGGAATGAATGCAGTGGGGGTGGCGCCCCAAGAAACCAGGCATTCAGCACATACCTACTCACATCATCAGAATCAGCCAAGGTGGTTACAGGGCTCCATTCATTTAAATAATAATAATATGGTGGTAATAGGGAGGGCTGTCATTTACTGAGCTCCTCCTCCCTGCCAGGCACTGTGCTAAGCATTTTACGTATGTTAACTCATTTTAATTAACTCGGGCATGAAAGCCCAGAGCAGGAAACGGGCCTGGGGCAATCTTTAGACAAGGACAGGCCACGGGCCTCTTGGCCAGAGAGAGAGCAAGGTGCCTGGATCTCTGTTCCCCAAATGACAACTACCGTACACAAGGCATATGTGTCCACAGCACGTACCCTCCACACTTACACACACATACATAGACACATAGCCTATGAGAGCCGCCAGGCGTTTATGTGTTCACTGCCATGGCTGCCTCCCAACCATTTCCTCCCTGAAAACTTCCTGCCCTGATTAAAACCCAGAAAAGACATTATGACTTTGGAATGCTTTCTCCTTCAGTTCTGAAAGCACTACTTCTTCCTGTGGGATTTCTTACCCCCCCACCATTTGATTATCCTGGACAGAGAGGTGATTGCTTGGGAATGGCAAGGAATACGATATATCAAGGACTGTGCTGGGGGCCCCCGGGGCCTCTGTGGCTGTTTCTCTTCTATGAGGTCCCCCCCCCTCAAGACCGTCATCAAGTAGGAGGCCAGGGAGGGTACCAATACAGAGGGAGACCAGGAACAGAGTGGAGATGCCCGGCAGAGTCCACTGGACATGGTAGCGCTGGAGCCCAGTCCTGTTACGGTGGGTGGCACCATGGCAGGTGCCCGACCCATCCCAGGGCAGCACAGGCTCCTCAGGCACAATCCTCCTGGCTGACAAAGGCCTCCAGGCCCTTGGGCACCTCCTCCCTCTGTTATGGCACCTGTGAGGAGCAGAAAAGTTGACCCAAGACTCAGGCCAAAGTGAGCCAGACAGCTGGGGAAGGTATTTTCAGGAAGCGCGCTGTCATGGATTTGCAGTCTAGGAAGCTGAGTGCAGGGATCCCTATATTAACCTGGTTGGGGGTATAGAGGCAACTACTTCAGACTGAACGCTTCCGCTGGACCTGGAAGGGACATTTGAGATGAAACTTGACTATAAGAATGAACCAGCCATGGGAGCAGATGGGGGACAACGTTTCCAAATAAGCACCAAGGGCCTGAGAGAGGAGTGAGGCTGGCATGTTAGAAGAGAGAAAGCCTGAACCACACCCTGGGAGAGGGGTGGGGCCCTGGGGTACTGGATGCCTTCCAGTCAGGTCTAACTACAGCCAGCCAGATGGTGCCCAGATGCCCTGACCCCAGGGCTGGGTCTCCAATCTCTTTCTCTTTCCTCTCTCAGGACCCAGGAGGGGCCCACCTAGAGGATCTGCTATTTGGATGTTGTGAAAACTGCCCCATGCAGAGCAGATCCAGATTTGTGTTTTGGCCTTGAAAGACCTCCTTTACTCTCTTGGCTTCTCCACCTCTGCCTCCTTCCCCAATCCATCATGAAACATCTAGAGGAAGACAACCCCACATCCAGAGTCTGCTTGGCCAGCCAGCTTTGCAATCTCCTTACAAAGAAGCATCTAGAGGCTTCCTTGCTGTACCTCATTAGAACAGGGGTCCCTGACTTCTCTTGGTAGCTGGCTCATCACCTATCCTGGCCCCCCAGTGGAAGGAAGAGTGACTGGTTTCCCCTTCAGCCTCTCTGGGCATGAGTCCAAGGCTGAAGAAGCTGCTACATGAGGGCAAGCAGCAGGGATCCCCTTACATCAGTCTGGGGTTTCCACGTCCCATGCCCCAGCCACACCAGACCACAGACCCTCTCCCCAAAGACACACACACTCCTATGCTTCCAGGCCTTGGCTCAGGCCATACCCTCTGCCACCAATGCCCTTCTCCCCTTCTCGTCCTCCTGGAATCCCTCCTGTTGAGTGAAGAAGCCCAGCTTAGCTCCCTTCTCTTCCATGAAGGCTTTCTCTTCCATCCCCTTGACAGCAAAACTCAGCTCAAGGCTTTCCCTCCATTGAGCACTTACTCATACACTGGTATGAATATTGGTCATGTTACTCTTTCCTTAGAGCAGCGACCCTTGCGCTCTAGGGTGATCAAAACCCATTTGAGGAGCTAATGAAAGCAGAAAGCCTTCTCTCCAGAATGGTGCATACATGCACACATCTGGGAAATTTTGCATACAATTTCAGGGGGCTCTGGCACTCATAAAGCCTGGAATAAGAACTCTTCTGTGATTTCAGGTCCTTCTGCACAAGGCCTGTGTCATTCATCTTTTGGTCCCCTCCTCACCCAAACAACCTGCACAGGGCTCAGAATATAGTAGGCCTTCAAAAAAAGTCCCTTGAATGGAATGACATGTCTAACTTCCTTAGCTGTCAGAGAAAAAAGGAAAAGTATCTGTAATTCATCACTAAATGAGCAGATGTTGATTGAATACCTACTATGGCTAGGCTTTGTGCTAAGTATTCAGAGGTATGTGACACAGAGCCTTTAAGGAGTTGATCTTGTTAAAACAGATGAACATATGGGAAGGGGGAAAAAAGAGACAGAGAGGGAAACAAGCCATAAGAGACTCTTAACGACAGGGAACAAACCGAGGGTTGATGGAGGGAGGTGGGTGGGGGATGGGTTAGATAGATGATGGGTATTAAGGAGGGCACTTGTTGGGATGAGCACTGGGTGCTGTATGTCAGTGATGAATCACTAAATTCTACTCCTGAAACCAATATTACACTGTATGTTAACTAACTAGAATTTGGGAAAAAAGGAGTTGATCTCCTTGGGTAGACAGGGCTCACAAGCTGAATGAGCTCAGCCCTCACAAGGTGGTCACTGACCTTGAGGCAGGGGTGTGGCTTGACAAGGGCAGATGTGGGTAAGGAAAAGGACTTGAAGCAGGAAGAACAGGAGTAAAGGCAGTGGGTTGGTAGCGACCAAAACAGATCTGAAGAACAGAGGAGGCCAGTGGCCGGAACAGAGGGTTAGGATATGGTAAGGTGTGGGCAAGTTAGAAGATGCAGTGAGGTCCAGATGGGGTGGGCCTTGGAGGGTGCACTGAGGAGGTTGGGTTTGATCCTGGTGGCAGCAGGCGGCCATTGATAGATTTTTGAGCTGGGGAGGGGTGGGATGAAAGTGAGTTTTTTAGAAGACTCTCATGATGGCCCTTGTAGGGGTGGGGGGACTAGTGGGAGGAGGACTGCAGGTGTGGCGGCAGGCTGGGGAGCTACAGTGAATGACAGGCAAGCGGAGCGCGGTTCTCCATGGGGGTTGGAAAGGAAGGGTGGCAAAGTGACGTCTGGTGATGAGAGGGAGATGAGGGCCTGGGATTGATGGGCTGCTGGGGCAGAAGGGCGAGGATCAAGAGACTGGCTGACTGAGAGCAAGTGAAACCTGGGGCAGCAAGCACGAGGTGGGGCTGGACTGGGCCCAGGGTGCTGAGTCTGCTTGCAGCCTAGTGGGCTGCCTGGTGGGAGTGATCAGCAAG